CCCCTTCATAATAATCCCCCCCCCCCCGCGGTCGCTTATGTGGCATATTGTGTGAAATAAGTCGCCTAAGAGCGCGTGAAAGGTGACAATGACCATTAAAATGGGCCCACCTGACAGCAACTAACGGCTAATTAGCTCCTTTTTAAAATATATATATATATATATATTCTCCTTTTTTTCTTTATATTACACCTTTCTTCTCCATTTTTACACCTTTCTTCTCCATTTCTTCATCTTCATCCATTTGACATTCTCTCTCTATTGATCGCTCTTAATTTATCCGTCCTTCATTGTTACCCAAATTTATTTGAAAGAACACCCTTTCAAGTATTTGTAGAAGATTCATGAGGTTTAATGTCTTTTGTGGTTGGGGGCAGACTGTTTCTTTGAGAACGTCAACGACAAATGCTAACCCAGGAAGACAATTTTTTTGGATGCAAGTACTATGAGGTAATCGTCATATGTTATGTGATATATTATGGCTAAGATTTCATTTCTTTTATTAATGGTTTGGTTAAATTTTTCAGCCTAAGGATCGCGTGGCATGTGGGGTTTTTTCAATGGTATGATCCAGAATTTCCTACCAATCAAAGGCGTTACTGGCTTATAGAAAGATAAAATGGAATTTGAGGCTGAATTAAAGAAGAGGAAAAATTTGAATGTTGCTTATTATTAGTTTATGTTTCAATATATATTTTTGGTTGTTCAAATGCTAGGAAGTGTTGTGTAACCATGAACATGACTGTTGCTTTTGTTTTGTGGACACAGAACTTATCTCAAACTTTTCACCAAATTCATCAATTGTACTGTTATTGCTACTATTCTTTGTGTTTGTGAGCATGCTATCAGCAACTTGATTTTGCATATGCTCAATCTCTATACTAATGTTTTCACAGCCATTAGTCCTTTTGTGGCTTGCTTTGTGACCACCAAGAGCTTGGTAAGAGTGAAAGCTTTTGTTGCATGATCACCCATCACTTCTTTCGATACTTGTTTCCTAGCCTCCAAACAATTTTTTTTCCAACATATAAACTCACATCCTCCCTTGCCAAATCTTGCATCTCCCAACCCATTATGCACGATTGTGAAATTATCCTACTTCTATAGTACTTGGCAGGATACTTGGTATTGCACATTGAATTTGTGTTTGTCTTGTTGCAATTATGCCTAGGATTATAAGTTCTAATAATGAAATCAACAGATTTGGGCTCTCTGTTTGCAAACAATAACTAGGGACATCCATTAGTTTTGCATTTTACCAATACTTTATTTTTATCATTTGTAATCATCTCTATCTCACAACTTCTTTCTATTGCATACCCGGTGACAACTTTTCTAAATTTATATACATTTTTGAAGACTATGTTAAGTTGCCAAACCACCTTTTCCTATTTTGGATCATACGTTACCCTATTGTTCTCCTTCCTTGCTTTTATGTTGCTACTTCTGTTTCCTGATTTATTATCGCTCTCACTGTCACTGTCACTCTCAAAACTATTAGCATTTGAACTGTCATAAAAAGGCTCATCACCAACTAACTTACCAAAAACATTTTTTTCATTTATCTATGTCTTCAAAACCTGGATCTATCCCAACTGGTCCAAGAAATGACTCAGCAACAACTTTCTTTCTTGGTGTTCTTTTTTTCTTCTTATAAGCCTTCAAATCTATTTTAACTATGTTAAACTCTTTATGCACATCGCTTACATAATTAACCTCATGCTCTTCATCCTCAGAACTGCTTGATTTGTCTCTATCTACAACATTACCTACAACGTCAGTATCATTTTCCTCTAAATCTTCATCTTCTATGTCAGAATCATTCTCATCTACTAAAGAGTATCTAGGAAGTTTTTCTACAATATATGACTGTTCATGAGGTTCTATTTTACCACTAGAATCAATATTTTTAATTTGGGAACCTAAAGGTGCATTGAAACCTTCTATAACCTTGCTGGAAGATTCTTCAATGGCCCCACTAGTCATTCTGGAGCACATTATATCCATCATGGCATACATAAATGTCTATTGTATCCTTATTACTTAACAAATCAGCAAGTACCAACAAATCCCTATCTTTTAAATTCTACCAAACTGCCACCCTTAGAAGATATAGTATATATTTTTCCTACATTGTTAAACCTAAAATCCTTGGCATAATCAACAATTTCTGGAATAGACAATTTGTCTGTATCCACATTATAAACACATTCAATGTTTCCCCCAACATAAACTAGCCCTACCTCATTCAAAAGCATATCACCAATATGTGATCTCAAATTCAAATATTTGTCTAATTACCCTAAAATAGCAATAAAAAAAATAACAAAGAATATGGCAAAAGAAATAAAAAAATAAAAAATAGAACAACTTATTAAACTAACATAAAAGACCCGAAATCTAAAACTAACAACAAGCAACATGCATGAAACTATATATTCGACTAACCAACATCAACAAGCAGAAAGATGTAACAACTCAAAAAAAAAACCCAAATTTTCTACTACGAACTAAATCGCAGCACCTACCTATCATAATTTCGCAACAAAAATAATAGGAATAAAGAATAGGACCTGTATTGTGAAAGTACAAGGGGGG